CAAGAGCACCTTGGCACTGGCTCTGGTCCCTTCCTTGAGGCTTCTCCTTTGGAGGCATTAGGCAGAAGTCGGTGTGCCGCTACGGGGCCAGTGGCTTCGGCAGTGCCGGTGGCATCTCCCAGCGATGGCTCGAATGCCAGGATGTCCCTACGGGCTTCCGACAGAGGTCTGTGCTGAAGGGAGGAGGAGGAGGAGGAAGGAAGGGACACCAGAGCCACCTCAGGGATGCTCCCAGCTACTCCGGCCATCCCCTCTCTGCTGCCATCAGCTCTGTCATGTCACAGAAGTCACCGGTCGGGTTGCCACACCGTGCCGGTTCAGTCCACCTGACGGCATGGCTGCCGAGCGGCAAATCTGAGATTAATCTGAGCATCCCCCGCGGGCTCCCCGCTTGGTCCCCGGGGACATCCCATCCGCAGAAAACCCCTGCAGCTCCTTTACCACGCGCTCGCGGAGCCTGGTAGATCGCCCACATGGTGGTCACAGCGAGGTCGGCGTAATAAATCGTGATTATCTCATCCCAAATTTCCAGCGGGGCAGGGAGCTGGCAGCAGAGTGTGGTGATGTATGGGAGCTCCCCTGGGAGGACGGGTCCCTCTGTCAGCCTCAGGGGGTCCCTGGGGACCGGAGGGAGGGGTGCTGCGGGGTTTGACCGAAGGGATGCTCTTGGTTATGGGGTGAAGGCTGGGTGCTCTATGGGGTGGGAAGCCAGGACTGCCCCCTCACCCTGTCCTGGGCTACCCACGACGCCGCAGGAGCTGGAGCTGATGGAAAACATCCTGACGAGCAAGCAGGACGAGAGTTGGGAGCAGAGGGGCCCCCGGGCCTCCTTCTCCCGCCAGGAACGGAGCCGCCTGCTCTGGGAGGACGTCAGCGTCATGGAGGAGGATGCCACCAAAGTCACTGCCCTGAAGCTGAGGCTGGATGAGTCCCAAAAAGTGCTGCTCAAGGAGCGGGAGTGAGTGCTTGGGGCATCATCCTTGTGGGGTGCCAGCCGAGCCCAAGCCGGTCCCCACCAGGATGGGACGTCCCATGGGGTCTTGCCAGCTGTCACCAGCATTGCCTCTCCCCAGGGACAAGCTGGCGCTCAGCAAGAGCATCGAGAAGCTGGAGGGTGAGCTCAGCCAGTGGAAGATCAAGTACGAGGAGCTCAACAAGAACAAGCAGGAGGTGATGAAGCAGGTGAGCGAGGTGCCTGGCGACCAGGGGTGCCCCAGAGGGTGCCATGTCCTTATGGTTGGACATGGTGACCCACAGCCACCTCCCCAACTCCAAAGTGCTCATGAAGGGTCCTAATTAGTGCTATTGAACCGATTGGCCCAGCCACAGAGGTTGGGTGGGTGGGTGTGGGCAGGGCTTGGGTGGCACAAGGCGGGTGCTCGCTGCCCACCTTGGGTGCTGTGTGTCCCCCCATAGCTCAACATCCTGAAGGAGATCCACCAGGACGAGCTGGGACGCATCTCCGAGGACCTGGAGGACGAACTGGGTGCTCGCTTCAGCATGGACAAGAAGCTGGCTGAGCTGCGTGCGGAGGTGAGGCCGAACACCAATGCGGGGGGGGCAAAGGGAGTGGCGAGGAGGGTCCCTGCT